AATTATAACAAAGTAATAATAGTTTTACATCTAAAAATGATATTTTATTATTTCAATCTATTTTCCTCATTCAGCAACCTATTAAATGTCTTATGTTTCATGTAGGAGAAATACACATTTTTTTCAGTCAGTATTTAATACAGCTGGCAAAAGAAATTGTTAAAATATGTATTAAGTGCGTCTGTTTTTTAATTCTGGAGATTATAAAAAATCCTTCATTTTATGGGAAGACCCTCTTGATTCAAGAGAAAACTCCATTTTTTAAATGGCTGCTTATTAATTAATTGTTAATCTATCAGACAAATCAACTTCAGATTAATTCATTATCAATAACTTGCATCCTTAAGGAGTTAACTTAATTTATATCTACTCATATTCATGTAATTAAGCGTTTTAATGATTTGGCCGATTAATCGATTAATCGAAAAAATAATCAACCGATTAATGATTATTAAAATAATCGTTAGTTGCAGCCCTACATAAAAGTAAAAGACGCAAACTAACAAGAAAAAAATAAAAAAACAACCCTGTTAAATAATTTGATGAATCTAGATGAGATAACTATGAGATGAGATACGCTGTTTTTAAGTGAGGCTTCCACCGTCTGGCATCGGTACAAAGCTGTACATGCACACGACAGACGGCTGCAGTCAAATGTTTTTCTGCACTTGCACAAGGAAATGAACAGCAGAACATCAGCTCTTCTGACACTTTATATTCGTGCTGCACCGTCTCGTGGGTCAGCACAGGAGAGACGCTTTTCTCATATTCTTCAAATACTGTCAGTCCAAATCAAACGTACAGGTACTCGACACTTTGAATGTAACAGTTTTTATTCTCCAGCCTGAAGTATTTCAGAGAAGAGACTCTGCTTCCTTTCATTTTGTACTTTGACTTTCTTTTTGCGCTGTAAACTCAAGCTTCTGTTATTTTCCAGTGTGTGGTTCTTGTGGGTTGTTTGTTGATCCAATTTTCTTATTAACATCAGATTGACTCAAGGTCAAGAAAAGTTGCAAAAGGATTGGTTGTAAATGCAGTCAGTTTATGGCGAWAGACTTGAAAAAGAACTGAATGTTTGATGCAAGTCTTGTATTTTTATACTTTCTGATCATTGCAGCCACATGGTTTAAAACAGAATGAGAGTTGGTGTCTCTTATTGATGTGTTCTTTCTGTCTTCATAACAAAGTTGGTTATGTTCTAATGTCTGATGTAAAAGTTACCACCTGCAGGGTTGTGACCAGGAAGAGACATGTTAAAAGGTTGAATCGTCATTAGGGCTGCAACTAACGATTATTTTAATAATAATTCGATTAATCGGTTGATTATTTTTTCGATTAATCGGCCAAATCATTAAAACGCTTAATTTCATGAATATGAGTAGATATAAATTAAGTTAACTCCTTAAGGATGCAAGTTATTGATTAATGAATTAATCTGAAGTTGATTTGTCTTATACATTGACTAAAAATTACTTGATGAGCAGCCATTTTCTTAAAAAAAAACGGCGTTTTCTCTTGAATCAAGAGGGTCTTTTCATAACATGAAGGATTTTTTAATAATCTCCTGAATTAAAAAAAAACGAAGCACACCATAAATATTTTAACAATTTATTTTGCCAGTTGTATTAAATACTGACTGAAAAAATGTGTATTTCTCCTACATGAAACATAACAGAAATTTAATAGTTTGCTGA